AATCCAGAGAATAGAGGACAACCACGTTGGGTGGTGCGAGGGGAGAAGATTCTCTCGGATAAGATGAAATAGAAGCGCAGCCCTGGCCGGTTTGGCTCAGCGGTTAGAGCGTCGGCCTGCGGTCCGGAGAGACCCGGGTTCGGTTCCCGCTAAGGGCATGTACCTCGGTTGCAGTTTGTCCCCGGCCCTGGTTGGTCGTGCGGGTGGCGGCCACTCGATGTGTCCCTTTCACGTCGATGTTTCTCTCTCTCTCTCTTCCTCTCTCTCCCTCCCACTCTGTCTGTACAAAAAATGGAAAAATGTCCTCGGGTGAGGATAAAAAAAAAAAAAAAAAGAAATAGAAGCGCAAACCTGAGAGACAAACCATTGGCGAGCTGGGGCGCAGCCTGTCTGGGAGATGGAACAGTCAAGGCAAATCCCCTGAGGGTGGAGTGTGCCTGGAACTCAAAGAAACTCCGGTGACTGAGTGAAGAGAGTTGGGAAAGAGGGACCATAGCAGATGAGAGGAAAACCCTCCAGGATGGTTATAATCAGGAAGAGGTCGGAAGTCACTGAAGAATTTTGAGCAGCAAACTGACAAGCGTCCCAGGCAGTTGTGAGCAGAACAGACTGAGAAAGGTGGTCAGGTGGGTCAAGAATAGCAGCAGCACCGAGGTTCTTGCAGTGGTTCGGGTAGACGAGATGGCTGGGGCAGCGGTGATGGTGAGGACGGTGAGTTGTCGTTGGTGTCTATGGATATTTTCAAGGCGGTGTCCGTAAGGTTTGCTGGTGAATGAGATTAGGGGTTAGGAATTAAAGAAGCGTCAAAGATGACTAGACAATATTTGGTCTGAGCAACCAGTGACATGAGGGAGCCATTTATGAGATTAGAGAGAAGTAGTAGGTGCTCCCTCCTTTAAAATAGTCCCTTTGGCCCAGCCAGTGTGGCTGAGTGGTTGAGCATCGACCCCTGCACCAAGAGGTCGCTGGTTTGATTCCTGGTCAGGGCACATGCCCTGGTTGTGGGCTGGATCCCCAGTGGAGGGCATGCAGGAGGTGGCCAGTCGATGTTCTCTCTCATCAATGTTTCTCTCTCTCTCTCTCCTCCCTCTCTCTCTAACATCAATAAAGAAAAAGAAATTTAAATAAATAGTCCCTTTGCCTTTTTAACTTCCTGCAATTATGTGTGTGTGTGTGTGTGTGTGTGTGTGTGATTCAAACAATGCCGATGGTACAGAGAAGTGTGATAAGATTCAAGCCTACACAAAACCTTTTCTATAAGAAAATGGTATGGAGTATGTCAAGAGAGAATGAGGACCCATACTAAGGGAAAAAGGCGATATTGGAAGACTGTTTTAGGTAGAGAAATTTTCAGACTACCTCCAGGCCACCTGTTTTCCATTTGGTGAAAAACCAGAGTTCTAGTTCTTGCTTGGAATATATGACTATTGATAATTACATAAACTTCGAAAATGCAGCCTCTTCAGATAATGAGATGGAGACGGGTTTGAGAATTAAATAAGTATCTTATTTTACTATCTTATTTTAATTTCCTTCTTATGCTTGACTGACAGTCTCAAAAAAAAGGAAGATAACCAGATATTGATAGTTTGATTTGTCTCGAAGCTTTTGTACAACAAGTGGCTATTGAGGACCATTACATGTAGGCCATGATAATAAGGATTGAAGTGGATTGAATTAAACATACAAAATCAGTTTATCCTTGAGTGATTTGTAATCTGAACATGTTGTTTAGTTAAACGAAAGCTCAGGATCATATCGGGTGGTGATGCCACTGGGGATGCTGGGAAGAATTGCTTTCAAGAATCCAGACCTTTATCCAGCACCGATTATGCACGAAGCATTTTGCTGAGTGAGTTATACCACTTAACTCTGAGACACAACAAAACAACGTTCTGTGAGTTGGACGCAGTATCACCTTTAGGAAGAGACTGAGAGGCGGAAGGATTCCTCGTGCGATATTAAATTTGGCCAAGTGAAGTCACTTGGCCAGACCGCAGAGCCGGGGCGGAAACAGACCTGAACGCACACAGTGTGGCTTTTGGTGACTCTCCGTGTGCACTTCCACTATTTTGTTTTCCTAAGGGACTTCCGAGCTTGGAGAGGTTGCTATGGAGTGGAGTCGTCAAACACAGTCTCATGAAAAGGGCAGGGCTTGGGAAGTTTCCTAAAAGGTGGACAGACTAAGAAAGGGAAGAGGATGGAATGTCCAAGGTGGTTCCATCAGCGGCTGAGAGAATGTTGCTGGGAAGGCACCCACTGTCCTGGGACCGAGGACAGGGTCTGGCTTGGGTGTAGCAATGGCTTTGTGTTGCATGGTAGCAAAAGGTTAAGTTAGATCGGGGAGCTGAGACCCGTTTGCAAAAGCTCCTGAACACCGGCCACGGTCGTTTTCACATCCTCCTTTAGGGAATGAGAAGCCAGGGGAAGAATTTTAATGTCGTTTTGGTATTATGTCAGCCTGGGAGAGAAACGTTGGGAGAAACGGGAGACGAAGGGGAGACGGGAAATTCAGTGAGAAGGCAATTACTGCAGTTCGGGAGGGAGGCGGTAAATCTTGGATCATTTCTCTCCTCTGAATCTGTGTTTCCAAGAATAAAAGCATTTAGCCCAGCCTCCCTGCCTTCCTGTCCCCGTGTGTGTCACTCTTGCTCTTTATCTAGAATTAGTGCATCTTTAAAGGATAAGGTCACCTTGGGTAGAGATCATGTGTTCTGATTTAAAAACCAAACCAAAGCAAGTGACAAGTCTGAGCCCAACACAATTGAAGACTTTGGTGGCAAGTGTAAAAACCAACGTGAAAACGCAATGTGTTTTCTGATTTTCTCTCAACACCGCGTTATCATTCTTGTCTTCCCACGTTCTCCTCCATGGACTCCGAGGAAAAGGCCCCTCAGAGTTCCCAGGGATCCTGTCCACTCCTTTTCTTAGCAGGGCACTGACAGTCGGTATTGCTTGCAGGAGAGTGGATGGTTCCTAGTACCGAAAGCCCCCAATCAGCAGAAATATCTTTCTGCATCTGCATCCTGTGCCCCAAGAGACTCAGCTAGATTAGATTATACACCAGAGGAAAACACTCTGACGTCCGAGCACCGAGAATCACTGTCTTTGCTCCCTTTTCTAGTTAGCAGGGAAGGGGGTAGTCGTTACTCTCTAGAGATGCCTTTCGGCTTAAACTCATCAGAGGGATGCGAATATCTAACCTGCTTTCTGGGCTATAAGGAAAGATTACCTTCCTATGAAGGAAGCCTCTGAGGCATGGAAAAGGGGAACAGATAAAGAGCGATATTTGCCCGGCTGGTGTGGCTCAGTGGTTGAGCGTTGACCCACGCACCAAGAGGTCACTGGTTCGATTCCCGTTCAGGACACATGCCCAGGTTGTGGGCCTGATACCCAACGGGGGGCGTGCAGGAGAGAGAACTGACATTCTCTCTCATTGATGTTTCTATCTCTCCTTCTCTCTTCCTCTCTCTCTCATATTAATAAAGAAAAAAAAAATTTTAAAAAGAAAATGATATATTTTTTTTACAGAAAAAATTCAACAATTTTTGAGAGAGGAAATAATAAGCACATACACACATGTACACACATATATATATTTACATGTATATATTTGTCAAATTACATAAATATCTATCATTTCATTATATTGCTATTTTTATTTATTTTTTATTGTTGACACTATTAAAGATGCCCCTCATTAAAAAAAAAACAAAAAAACGAAACGACAGAAAATGTATCTGCTTTTGTATTTAAATACAAATGCAGTTGTTTATTCCACATTATTTACTGGATACTAACCCTGGCACAGTTACTATGTATGGGATTTTATGGTGACAAAGAAACAATTCCTGTCCCCAGGAAGCTCACAGTTGAACAGGGAAGACAAGAAATGCAAAAATGGGTGGATAGATGGATGGGTGGGTGGGTGGGTGGGTGGATGGATGGATGGATGGATGAATGGATGGATAGATAGATAAAGAAGATAGGTAGATAGGCAGGCAGGCAGGCAGATAGATAGATAGATAGATAGATAGATAGATAGATAGATAGATAGATAGATAGATAGATAGATGATAGATAGATGATAGATGATAGATAGATAGATAGATGATAGATAGATAGATAGATAGATGATAGATGATAGATAGATAGATAGATGATAGATAGATAGATAGATAGATAGATAGATAGATAGATAGATGATAGATAGATAGATAGATGATAGATAGATAGACCCATTCAAAAGGGTTTTATAAGAACTCTGGTTAAGAGAGCCTCTGGGTACTGTTGGAACAAACAGGAGCAGTATGGAACGGCCCGGGGACAGGGAAGGTTTCTCGGTGCAGCTAATGTCCTGCAGCGCGGTTGGTGGGACGGGATGGGGCGGAGGGGAGCCCGACGACAGGGCAGCAGGCACAGTTGCTCAGGTGGGACTGTGAGCAGTGTGAGGGGGCAGGAGGCCAGGGAGGCCGGGGGCGGGGCTTTGGCAGGACTGGAAGAGGCAGGTGCTCCGCGCTCCTCCCGCCCTGCCATGTCCTGGCCACCCTGCTGAGTAGATGACATTTTGGCAGGGCTGGCAGGAGCCTCCCCTGGGCGAGGGCTGTGCTTGCTAGCCCCTGGTGGACGTGGGCTTTAGGACATCTCCCTGCTGCTCAGCAGCTCAGGACCCTTCCCTCCGAGCGCAGTCAGCGCTACCGCTCACCAGCTGCCTTTGTAAAACAGCCTGGCCCTGTCAGCGGGGAACATCTCCACTCCCCAAACGTCATCTCCCAGCTGTGATATCCCCATACCCCGTGCAATGCGGATGCCCCTTCCTTGGGGGGCTGTGAGAACCGCCACGTCATTTGGGGATTTGGGAGAACACCTCGATGGATGCCACCCGGGCAGAATTCCGAGGGAAGTCGTCTTCCTGGGTTCCGCTGCGCCTCTCGTTGCTGATAGTTGTCCCGAGTTACTTTCGTCTAGATGTCTACTCATCGCGTGCTGTGTCCCTGCAGTCACAGGTGCTCCCTGCGCGGCGAGGATTTGAACAGACAGTGGCTCACGCCCAGCGCCCAGCTGCAGCCGACCATCTACCACGCCAAGGGCCTGCTCTACTACCTGAACAGCGCCGGCCGCAGCCCCGTGGTGAGTCTCTCTTCTGCCTCCGCATCCTTGGCTGCTTCCCTCCGCCTTCCAGAGACTATGTTAGGGCAAGAAAACCAGACCCAGGCCAAGATCTGCGAGTGACCAGCTCTAAAGGGGCCGGAGTCACCCCCTAGGCCCCCCCCTAACACAGCGCCTGGAACTAAGTGGCTTAGAACAACAGAAACACATTCTCTCCATTTCTGAAGGTCAGACGTCTGAAATCAAGGTGTCAGGAGGCTAGGATCTCTCCGAAGGCGCTAGGAAAGAGCACTTTATTGCCTCTCCCCGCTGTGTGTCTGTACACATGTTCCTTTTTTTCTTATTTTTTAGCTTTTGAAAATGTATTGATTGATTTTTAGAGGCAGCGATGTCAATTGGTTGTTCCACTTATTTCTGCATTCATCGGTTGATTCTTGTATGGCAAAGAGAACAAAGCACATCTTTTCCCCTTACGAATCCTTTTCCTACGCTGGTCAAATTGTGCAATATTCTCTTTTCTCTTTTAAATATGTTTTTATTGATATTTTAGAGAGAGAAGAAGGGAGAGAGAAACATTGATGTGAGAGATAAACATTGATCAGCTGCCTCCTGCACGCCCCCTACTGGGGACTGAGCCTGAAACCCGGGCATGTGCCCTGACCAGGAATCAAACTGGGACCTCTCAGTCCCTGGGACGATGCTCAGTTCACTGAGCCACACTGGCCGGGCACATTGTGCAGTATTTTTATGTCAACCCTCACCCTCCCATCCAACGGGACACTGGTCTACGCCACCTGTCCTGTAGAAGCAGGAGAAGAACACCAATTTCATAGTCAAGGCCTGAGAAAAGTGTGTTCTGTGAGTAGGAAGCCTTAGGCTCTGGAGGAGAGTGATTTATAGGGAAAGAGGTCCCTACCCATCATACATTTAAACACACACACACACACACACAACTACATTCAGCTTGTAAAGCTTTCTTCTCTGCTCTGACAACCTCTAATTGAAGAGCAGAACATTTGTTTTAAAGTGTGACAGGTGAAAGTCTTGTTTAAAAATATAAATAAACATTAATTAACTGTAAACATGACAGCCACAGACGTGTTTCCTGCTGGGACCATCTGAGAGGTGGGTAGAAACAGCTGAGTACTAAATGCTCTTCACAGTGTTACAAAGTCCTCAGCATCACCTTGCGGTTACCTCGGAGGCTATATTTAACCAGCTTCCCGCTGACTGCAGAACACTGCCACTCACTCCGTTCTCAGGAAGATTCCCACTGTGTCAAGACTGGCTACATCGTTGCAGATTAACTGTCACTCTGCCCAGACTCTGACTCTTATTAAAATATTCCCTGAAGCACGGGAAAGCCACTTCTGGGAGCTTGGCGGTTCCACTGGTTCTAGATGGTACTTAGACATTTGCCTGTGGGTGGGTAGAATAATATGAACTCCCAGGACCAATGAGAATGTGAGACAGTGAGAGAAAGCAGTACCCTGATATGGAAGGGGGGCTGCTAAGGACGAGACAGGACAGCATTCAGTTTATGAGTAATATGGCAATATTCACTTATTCTTTCATCCATCCATCCACTTATCCATCCACCCATCCATCCACCCATCCATCCACCCATCCATCCATTTATCCATCCATCTAATCATCCATCCATCCATCCATCCATCCATCCATCCATCCATCCATCCATCCATCCAATCATTCATCCATTCATCCATCCATCCATCCATCCATCCATCCATCCATCCATCCATTTATCCATCCATCTAATCATCCATCCATCCATCCATCCATCCATCCATCCATCCATCCATCCATCCAATCATTCATCCATTCATCCATCCATCCATCCATTTATACATCCATCTAATCATTCATCCATTCATCTATCCATCCATCCATCCATCCATCCATCCATCCATCCATCCATCCATCCAATCATCCATCCATCCATCCAATCATTCATCCATTCATCTATCCATTCATTTATACATCCATTCACCCCTCCACTCACCAACTGGACCATCATCCACTTGTCTACTCACACCATGTGTGCAGGTTCCAGGGGCACAATGCCAGTTGCAGTTTTAATGAGCGTGTCCTCTTCTTCGAGGGGGCCATAATGTACTTTGGTGAGAAAGGGGAATCATGTCTGCAAAGAAACCAATGAGAGCAAATGGTATACAATGTATCAAAGGCTCCTATGAGGTGTTGTAGGAATACAACTGAGAGGTGGAGTCATTTTCCCTGAGAATGATGGAAAATCTGGAGACTGGAGGTACTGTTTGAGCTGGACTTGGAGGAGGAATAAGAGTTTTGGAGAATGAATGAGACGGAGAATTATACTTTGCTCAGAGGGTCTCTAAAGAGGGCCTGATTAGACTCTCTCGATCTTCTCCCCTGAGAAACTGGGGTTCCGGCAAGTTTCCTACGCTTGGGGTCACTGGTAGGATAAAGGAAAGGAAGCTTTTCATAAGCTGGTGGCAAAGACTTACCTGCTTTCACACTGACCTTCTGGTCCCTTTTCTGTTTTCTTGAACCCCAATTTTCTATCTCTCTCGTTTGTTAGAGGGTTAGGAAACCTGTTCCAGATGTTGGATCCGAAAGCCCAGAAACATAACAAATCTTGATGTATTTGTACAGTGGAGTACTATTGAACAGTTACAAATAAAATGACTCCGACAACGGTCGAGTCCTGATATAGTCAACAACGTGGATGAATTTCAGAAACATGTTGAATGAAACGTGTTCCGTGCTAAAGAGGACATCTCCCATTTCTATTTCTGTAAAGTTCAAGATCAGTCATCTGTGGAGACAGAAATGCAGAACAGTGTTTGCCTCTGGAAGGGAGTAAAGAATAGGGCCCGGAAGGGAACTTTCTAGGTGAGTGGAGATGTTCTGCATTTTGATCGAAGAGTCAGTTACGCCAAAACCCTTGACCTGTCCGTGCAAGGTCTGTGCATTTCGCCCAAAGTACACACTTACCTAAATGTAGAGAATTAAAGATAAAGGAGTGGAAGCAAAGTCCCTGAGCTTTGAAATGAAACCAGCAGACAAAGGGGGCTGCCCCACAGAAGGGCGACCTCATAGCGACGTGCACTTCAAGCCAAAGAAGATGTCGTGGCCAGGTGTGTTTGGGTCCAGGTGTGTTTGGATCCAGCCGGAGACAAGCCATGCAAGTAGAGAAGCCCAGAGAAGCAGCCAGGCTCAGCAGTGAGCTCGGAGGAGGCATGAAATAGGTTGCTCTCTGTACCTCCCCACAAGGGCCAGGAGGCATGTGGCCCAGAGGTCAGCCCCTGGGGTGGTGCAGGAAAGCTCTCAGGGTCCCCAGAAACCAGGCTGACAGTCACTCTGAGCTGCTGTGTTGCAGCTGGCCTGGGCCCTGTACCACTGCAGAGTCTGGGCTTCCGACTAGGACAGGGGTGGACCCCCATCCTTTCGGCCCTCACTGCGTGAGTGCGTGTTGGGAAAGGAAGTCAGTGCTCTCTGAAGCGCTCGCTGGTTTCCGTTTCCAGCTCACCCAACCGAGGCCGCCTTCCGCCAAGGGACAGGGTGGGCATATTTCCGTTTTGTCTTTCTCTGGGGCCAAATGGAACAGCATTTTTAGCTGCTTAAATGATGTCCCTGGTCTTAGTCTATCCCTCCGGCATATGTTTTTAGTTAATCGGCATCTTTTAAAAGAGACACCAATGGAGAGTGCCAAAAAGATGGCATGTCCCTTCTTAAAACCTTGTCTCCAAGGCCTGAAGATACTCATTATTTATCTTATCTGCACTTTACTCCTCAAAGGAACAAGTATTCTTGCTGGTTTTCAATGGCTCATGCTAGGTCCTAATTCTAGAGTTTCCCTTTTATAAATTGATTTTATATATAGAGAGAAAGGGATACACACACACACAGAGATAAATAAATAGATATAGAGAGACAGAGATACACAGAGAGAAACGGTGATTTGTTGTTCCACTTATTTGTACATTCATTGGTTGACTCTTGTATGTGCCCTGACTGGGGATCAAACCCACAACCTTGGCACATCAGGACGACGCTCTAACCAACTGAGCTACCCAGCCCGGGCCTCCTTCTTTTTGTATTTGAAGATAAGGTGGAGAAAAAAAAAATCTGTCACCGTTAAAGAAGGGGGACAGAATACCCACGGAGGTCCTGAGTGAAACAAATTTAAATTGATTCCATATTCTTTTATGTAAAATGATCCCCATGCCACCGGAATAAAGATGAAAAACAATGTTTCGCTAACATCCCAGAAACCATATTTTTAATGTATTTTACAGATACAAAAACGTCACATTTATGCGGATTGCTAAAGTTTCTTGGATAAACTTACGTTGAAAAGCAGAGGGAAATTGTCCTCTGTCTCCCTCACATGTTACCCTGTTGTACCTCCTGGGTATGTAGATGCTGGAAATCTTGGGTTTCCCATGTGTCACAGGCCAGTCATTTTTTTTTTTCCCAAGAAGTCTGAGCACATTCTTTTTTTTTTTTTTGCATGTGGGTGGATACGTCTCTTCTAAATCACATGAAAGAGCCTCCATCCAGGGCTAGCAAACACAGAGGACAGACAGCAAGGAGTGTGTGCAGACAGGGCCACGCCACATGGACTGGCCTAGCTTTGTGGTCGCTCTCTGTGAGGCGGGGCCACGCGTCCCATCAGGCACTGCAAATGCAGACGGGGGACCTGGGCTGCACCCGCTCACTGCGCAGGACTCAAGCCCAGGAGCGCCGCTCTGGCCGGCGGAGCAAGGCCGCAGTGACCGTGGCCAACAGCACACTGGACATGCGGCTGAAAGTTCTAGTTGCAGAATGTGGGGGTCGCTAAATGCAAAGCACCGTCCAGCCTAGGGGACCGAGACCATGGGAATGTGTAGCAGGACACTGAAGAAGCTCTTTCCATGGGCCTGGTTCACCACCTGCTCCCTGGGTTCACCCAGACAAATGGGGAACCTGGCAGGGATCCAAGAGACCAGTCTGGACCCTGCCTCCTGGTGAGGACAGGG